AGCACTACTGATGTTGCCAGCAAGGACAGCACAAGGCCAGCAGGCAGGCTGGCAGTCAGGCAGAGCAGCTGTTAATCATGGATCTGCAGGGACACTGCAGAGCTGAACCTGCACAACCGGGTCTTCTCCTCTGACCCACACAGCCACAGAAGACAGGTCCCCCTTATCCCACCTCCCGGACCAACACGAGACGTCCGGTCAGGATTTTGGAATAGGGTGCGAGTTCCTTCACATTAAAGGCACACCAGAAGACACGAGGACATTCTAGGACCACCTGGCAACATCGGTCCTTTATTATCAGAAAAATAACGATGACAATAATAAATAATAATAAAGCTTTACACTGTAGTAAGAAACAAGTACACCACGAGAACAAGTGACAAAACTAGCACAATTAAAAACAAGGGTTTAGAAAGCAGAAGACAAAAGGGGCAGACAGAACGGATTAAGTGAAAGCCTTTCTGAAGGAGAAGGTTTTGACTCTGGATTTCCAAGCACTCAGGGCAGGTGACTCTCTGATAATCCCTGGAGATAGAATTCCAGAGCTCTGGGGCGTTGGCACGAGAAGGCCCCGTCACCCAATTCAGATATCTATCATTCCTGTTTTTATCAGGTTTTAAGTCCAGATATGGATTTTGCTTTTCGTTCACACGATCATCTTTTCAGCCACTGGAAGAACTCTGAAAAGAAACAATATCCAGCCCTCATCTTTACCTTCCTTCACCTACAGTAACAAAAGCGAGGAAAAGCATGCATCCTCTGATCTACTGTCGGACGTACAGAGTACAGAGCTGCAAGGAATGCCTCGCAAGGACCTTCAAAGGTTCGACACAATGGGACCAACGCCCGCTACCGCCTTGTATGAAATCCTGACGCACATCTGTAGCTTGTTTGGAAATCTGACTGCTTTACAAGTTATATCTTTGTAAATAAAATATTACTGCATACGTGCACTTATTCAGCTTGAACAGAATGGTCTTTTTCTTGAATAACAATGGCCTTCTGGGATTTTACAGGCTTTAATGTACCTGTAAGTCTTGTTAGAACACTTGAGCTCTGATCAAGACGAGTGCAGCCTATGCCAGCAGACTGCACAACAGCCCGGTGGAAGCGAGATTTTGAAATGACCGCATCGTCAGCACTGGACAAATCCAGCAAGAGGGACTCATTCGGCCCCTGAGAGGTCTGGGCACAGACAGAGGTAACAAAGGGTTACCGCAAGAACAGGGACTCTCTCGTGATGAAAAAATAGTTCTGCGAAAGTTCAATCTGAACTACATAAGAGGTGAAGAGACCTCGACACAGTGCCACCTTTTCACTTAACACTCACCTTCGTAAAAAAAAAAAGGTTAGGGAAATTTACACTTAAATGCATGAACAGCTGAACCAGCAGCGGTGAGGTACCTGAGCATTCCTCTGTGCTCCTCATGCCAGGTCTGTATCCTCTCTTCCCACTGCTCTTTGGTTAGCTTGTGCTGTTCCAGGACCCTGGAAAATTCATTAAAACACGGAGGCAGTAAATATTGAGCAGCTGATTCAATTTCTGCCGAGACCTCACAAGAGAGTGCACACCTCAGCAAGCTGCAATATCATGACACAGCCTTACTGGATAGTGATAGTCTTTTCGGGGGGGGGGGTGATGTGCACTCACCCACTGACCCCTATCCCCCAGCAGCTGGAACACCGAAACACTGGCAGACAGGGAGCAAACATGACCAAAACTTCCATCTTCACACAGCAGAAAGAGACTCTTATCTGCGCACAGACCTCAATAACTTCAGTCTGCTTTTTTCTCCCCGATCATTTCATATGGTCAGCGTTACAGGTGAAAGTGGAGGTTCGCCAGCACAACAGCGAAGTGAACCTTTAAAGGACGATGAGACATGAGAGCTTCCTTTCGCAGCTCATCTTTTTCATGCGGCGCCGACCATCAGCAAACGCCCGGATCAACGGTGTCTTCTGAAAAGCCGGCCCTGTTTTTGGAAATGTCCTAAACTTGCATAACGGGCTATAACGCAACAATGTGCTCATGAGAGACATTAAAAAAAAAACCACCCTGCAGCCACATTTTCCCAATCAGTGGTGTCGAAAGTACCACACTGCTACGCCCTCACAGGCCCTCCCTACAGTTCTGGGGCCGCGTCCGGGCTGACATCGCCGAGGTCGGGCCCCGGGTGGCGTGCTCAACTGCGGCCCTCACCTCTGTGGGAGCAGGCGGTCGTTGGAGAGGTACCCGGGCTTGTGCACCTCCCTGCTGAAGTCTCCGTACTTGGCCTGCACAGAGTAGGAGGCCAGCAGGACGGCGGTCTCCGGGGGGCAATAGTTCTCGTCGTTCAGGATGGCCTCCTTGACCTGCAGGAAGAAGAGCCTCTGCGTGATCTCCTGGATGAGCTCCTCCGACACGTCCTCCGGGAAGAACTTGGCCCGGAACTTGAACTGCAGGGGGTTCTCCTTCTTCACATCCTGCTGCGTCACCTGCGAGACAACAGGGCCACGCACGAAATTAGTCACAGTGTTATATACTTATGTGTAATAATATACGCTGGCCATGTTACATCCCTGCTGACAGTCACAGACGAGTGTCCAAAATAACGGAATTCCATAAACCTGCGCTTGTTTTATCTGGCAAGCTTAAGAGCAGCCATATCCCCCTGCAGCTCCCCGCTGGCAGCCCACTGGAGCTCAGCAGGTGTGAGCCTGGCCAGTACCTGGACGGGAGACCTCCTGGGAAAGCTAAGGTTGCTGTAAGAAGAGGTGTACATGGGGCCAGTAGGGGGCGCTCACCCTGCGGTCTATGTGGGTCCTAATGCCCCAGCATAGCGACGGGGACACTATACTGTAAAAAGGCGCCGTCCTTCGGATGAGACCAAATACCAAGGTCCTGACTCTCTGCGGTCATTAAAAATCCCAGGGTTTGGGTCCCAAGAGTAGGGGTGACAGCCGGGTGTCTTGGCTAAATTTCCATTGGCCTGTACCAATCATGGCCTCCTAATAATCCCCTAATAATCCTCCTAACAGGGAACTGGCTTCATCATCTGCTCTCTGTTCGCTCTGTACTATTACAAGGCAAAATGGTTTGACTGGAGTGTTCAGAAAAACACTCTGTAAATGTAACTAATTATTTTTTTGGTATTATTAACAACTGTATGCATGCATGTTGATTCAATGGCCCAGGGCTTCTGAAGTATAAAATACTTCAAAGAACAACTACCTAAGATGAAATACACTGAATAACAGAAAGGATCCCTTTAACTATTTAAAGACACAGACATTCCTCCCAAATTTTAATTCACATGTTTTTCAGCCTGGTAATATGCATTCATACTTCAAACCCTTACTTAATATGGGAGACCTGAGCCTTCGCAACGATCGTGGATCCGAGGTGTAGTATCGTGTCCCCATCAAGAAAGAGGTTTAGCCCTGATCGGCTGGAAAACTCACCTTTTTATTCAGTTTCAGCCACGTGCTGTAACCCTTGCTGTCTGTATATTGCAGCCCGAAGAACCAAACTTCTCGGAGGCCCACAGTCTTCACTACCTGTTAACACAACAACACAGTGCAAGTTCGTTTTTTTTTGCTTCTCAGCGCAAAAGGTTGCTGGGACCTGCCGTGTGGCTATTTCTTTAACATCTCAATGCAGGCTGGGGCATTGACGGCACTTGAAACATTTTATTTTATTTCTTTGAGCCTGGACTGTTTGGATTCCCCCAAGCACGTCGCTCACAGCACATCACAAGCAGACGCGTAAGTCAGCGGGCCAGAAAGAGAAAAACCTCCCTTTTCATTAGTCCCAGTACTCCTCCATGAGACCCATCTTATATTTCCCTCCTGCGGGGCTGCAGGTCAGCCTTGTGTCACCCCATTGATTAGCTGTCACGCTGCACCTCACAATGAGGAAGCACTTCGGCAGGCACTGCACGCTAGAGACATTCCTTTTATTGTCCAAGCAAACACGGCATCGAGCCTAGGCTCTTAACACACGGAAATCGGCATCGTTCCATTAAACCGCTTGATGTGTCTGTCAGTGTTTAAGGTCGGGTAACTGCTGTTCCTCCCACAGGTGCCTGTGGCAGAGGGATGTGCTGCCAAATAGCCACACACAGAAAAACAAACACGCTAATTCAGCAACATAAAAAAGGCAATGGTCCGTTTCCAGCTTATCGCGCCAAATCATTTAGACTGGCTCATAGGAGCATAAGAATTTGCATGCTGGCAAAAATACAGAGGCCATTCGGCTCAGCTTGCTCATTTGCTTATTAGGCAAGATATTCGGAAGCCTCATCCACACTTCTTAACAGAGCCTAGTGTTTGGACCTTAGATCCCTGAGCTGCGAGGCGTGTTGCAGATACCCACAGCTCTTCATGTGAAGAAAAGTTTCCTGCTTAATCCTGTTGTCCAAAACAAATTCCCCATTATTTTCCAGTTCTGACCCCATGTGCTTATTTCACCGCCGAGTACGTAATTAACCTCTGGGTTGATCCTATATATACACACACACCTTAGTAATTTATATACTTTGATGAAAAATAAGACCTCATACTTGTTCCCCTTCTTTGAACTCTAAAGTAAGGCTTTAATATCCTTTTGTGGTATGGTAGCTACAGAACACTATTCTTAATGAAGCCTGAACACTACAGTGTAAACCATGATCTGAATTCCACGTTTTTTTCTATATTATACTCAAAGGTTCCGGTTGCTTTTCTATTGCTCCCTCATCTTATCTTGATAAAGATGCATCTGATTCCTGTACAGCTTCCTGCAGCTCAGAATCAGTCATGTGTTATGAAGAGGGTAAGCCATCACAGCCGGTGTGGATCACTCGGCACTTATCAACAATACATTTGACTTGCTATGTTGGTTTTGTCTTGAGTTTTGGTTCCCCTAATCAATTTCCCTACAGGATCAATAAAGTATTATCTCTCTCTCTATCTCTAATTCCCTTGCCACTGTTTCTTTTTGTCACTTCCTCTATTTTCCAAACCCTAACTAGCTTGCTAACCACAGCAGAATCTAAGTCATTCACGATCCTGAACCCAGCATGCACGGCCCTTCAGCTTAAGCCTTATAACACAAGAACTGTGGAGGCAAAGAGAAAAACCCCACCTGTTATATAAGGCCTTTGAATACACCGTTACAAAGCCTAACAGATCACAACAACGAAGCTAAGTCAAGCAACGTGGATTTTTCGGAAACGCCAAGAAGGTAACTTACCTGTGAGCAGCTTTAAATTTCACAATAATCATGCAAATTACTTCCAGTAATTTACGATAATGATGTCGTGGCTCACTGGCTATGACAAAGACAAACTAAAAGAATGCTCTGACTTAGAGATTAGACACAGCGGATTAAAAAAAGTGGTCATTTGGAAACCGCACCCTATTCTTACTTCACAGGACAACAACCATTAATTTAGAAGAAAACAATTCAGGAAACTAAAAAAAAATAAAAGTTTAAAAAGACTTAGTAAATAAGATCTAAAGGGTTTCCTTTTTCTGAATCTGAGCTTCAGTGGAAATTTATTTTTTCAAAAGGTAGAACAGTGATGCAGTTATGCCAAGTACTGTATCTGTTCACTTTCTCCATCTCTCCAGTCCACAAGGCTGAAATACACACCTTCAGCAATTCCAGTTGTAGTGGTGGTATCAAGTGATTTATGGAGAGCGCAGCACTAAAACCTCAGACTGAATTATATTAAAAACCACACTGCATATTAATATTTCATCTGGCATTAATATTGCAGGATGAGTGTTTGCATTGAGTCAAGACTCTAGAGGGAGGGCAGCACTTAAGGCAATGCTGAAGGATCACAACACTGCTGTGCTGTGATATTACAATATTAGCGTTGAAAAGGCCCCATTAATTATTACTCTGTGACCTGTCCTGACCAACGTGTCCTGTCCTAATCCCCGTCGCGGGGGGCAAACTCTCACCCCCCCCGGCTCCACTCCGTCACGACCAGCTCCAGCGACAGGGGAGCGCAGTGATGCCTGTGACCTGCACCTACAGGCTGGCCAAGACGCACAGGGGAGGGACACGGACTGCCAGGATATTCCACAACACGCAGCTTTTCAGACGTTGTCTGCAAACCACCCATTTCACAATTAAAATGAGGTAAAAACTGTACGGACTTCCAAACACACAGTGTGGTGTTAAATATTAATATCTGGCCCCGCTAACTCTCATTCTGTAATTTAGTGTCTCCCAGTGTAAAAACAAGGCATCAATATGCCTGCACATGTTAGAAGCAAAGTTCACTCTGATGTCTTCCAAGGGCAGGAGAGGGAGAAACGACAGTAAGAGGGTAAACTGAATAAAGCCTGGGTCTGTTCAGCTCAGAAACACATTGTTCACCGTTGGACATTTTAGATGATTTAATTTGCTCATACACGTCTGTAAGGTAGAAAACAGGTAAAGAAGCCATTAAGCCCTTTTCTGTTCTGCAAACTGAAACATACATGAGTTAATCTTCCCAATTACTCATATTTCCTTTGCGTTTCTATAGCGGCTTTAATCCCAAAGGAAATTCCAGTTCACGTCAAACGTCTTGCTTGTGATGCACATGCCGCCGCCGTGGGGCTCAGCGGCTGGAACCTGTCCCTCGTCTCCGCGAGGTCCTTGTCCTGCTGTCCCTCTGCCAGAGCTCAGCGCCCACAGCCCGAGCCCAGGGAGCGTAACTCTCGGACACACGCCAGGGAAACGTCTAGGAAACCGGTGGCCGGGCTGGAGTGCCCCTTCGCCCCTATCTGTGGGCACAGGGCTAGCAACCCCACGTGTAAAAAACACACATTTAGCTTATTCCCCATCGGGGGGTATGCAAAAAATTACGTGTTAATTTTTTCTCATGCTAAATTAAAACTATTATAAAAATAAAAATCTGTGTTTGGTTACAGTCTCCACTCTGTAAACTGTCCTCTAGCAACTATGTTAACAAAAATACCACAAAAATCCTTTCACACTAAGGAAAGAAAACATTAAATCTGTTTTGCAATCTCGCACTGTTTAGATCCCAGTCTGCATACAGTAACAGCACCACGAGCACAGCTTAATGAATGGCTGGCTGGTATTTCTAAACGATGACGGCCAATGTAAAAAAAAAAAATCAGAAGCTTCAAAACGTTGTGCCTCCGAGATGCATGTGCTCGATTCTGCAGTATGTCAAAGTAGAAGAAAATAAACCAAAGATTTTTGTATGAATGAGAATTGCTTCTTTCACTTTTCAATATGAAAACTTTTGTCTAAGTAGCTTAAGATGGGAAAACTCATTAAAAAAAACTTACAAAATTCTCTCTCCTGACTGACAAGATTTTAAGTATTTTTTAACTGAGTGCATTAAAACGAACATGCTAATTAACGGACTATGCTTAGTGAGTGCATATTGTAGAAAATCTCGTTGGGTAAGTGGGATTCAAATTTTAAATCCCTTGCATATGTTTAAGCTCTAAAGCCATGCTTATCCAGCCTCTTCCTACCCATATGTGATCAGACTACAACGCGGCGCAGTGCTTGCGACTGGGATGGGCTCATCCTGACGGAACAGCGCCTGGCATCACTGGGAATTAAGCGCGGAAGAAGCCTGCCTGTGGCGTACCGATGGCTGTCCTGGAGAATGTGGGGGAATGTCAACATTGTGGCACGTGTGAGTGCTGAGAGCACGTCGCACACCCTAGCCTCGCGTGCTGGGAGCCACATCAATAAACGTGCCGCAGCCCTGTCTCTGGGCCCAGTCTCCCGGCACCCTCAGAATCCCCACTCCTCCTGAATCTTTAAAGAGAAGGTGGTAGGAAAGCTCCCATTTAATTACCGAAAAGACGTCTTCTACTATATAATAAGCTGCCTGTGCTTATTATTACAACAGTAAGTAAGGAAGTTAAGGCATACAGCCAGCCCTTTGTTGGATCTTGGTTACTAATGTGGCCCACTAGTGTGTAGTACTCAGCACAGGTAAAGTCGTTTTTTTTTAATGTAGGGGTTTCATTAAATGAATTCTTGCAGCTCTTTTAATGCACCCAGTGGGGAAACGGCACAGAGCTTGAAGGAGAAACTGCAGGACCTCACCCAACCCCCACACGGACAGCAGCGTGGAGATTTCCTTCTCGCCCGCCCACAGAGTGCGTTTCGATACACGAACAACTGAAGAACTTCCATGACGACTGCGTCTTCAAGCCGGTTACACGTTTCTTCGCCCCGCGCCACTCCCCCCCCCATATTCCTGCCGACACTGCCAGCCCACTCCCACTCGTCCACGACGCAGCGGTGGTCCGGCCGGTCTTTTCTCTTCCTCGCTCTCCTTGTGCTGCAGCCCACCGCTCCTGTCCCTTTGCCGGCTCCCCGCCACAGGTATTCCGGGTTCAAAACCCCTCCTCTCCCACGCCAGCCCCCCACACCCCACTCCTGCACGCCTCCAGTCTCCCCGTTTCTCCCGCAGCCCTCCAGCCGCACCCGCGCCCTGGACTTGGGGAAACCGGAGCTGCCGAAGACTCGCCCGTGGTCTCCCGGCGCTGAGCTGCGCCCCGCAGCGACTCCTACACTGGACCGCACTGGTGATCCCAAAGCTCAAACTAGCACTGGGGAGAACACCGAGAACACAGTGTACAGTCACAAACCCCTGCCGTTTACTTCCTGCACCTGTGGATACCCACTCTCCCCACTGTGCTGCTCTCCTGCTGTTATCTGGCAGAGGGCCCAAACGGGCTTCATGGCTGCCTTGTATTCTGGCCAGACACACTGATAAATGTACCGATACACAGAGAGACCATTTTACACAGAGGGCTGTAAGTTGTGAGTGTGTGGAGCAAGCAGCTGAAGCCGATGCTCTAGTTTCTTTCAAGAGAGAGATGGACGAGAATCAACGGATTAGACTAATTAGCTACTTGCAACCTCATGAGCAGGATCAGACGAATGACCTCCTCTTTCTCTGCATCCTTTCTGAAGGTCTTATGTTCCTCCAAAGAACGTCTCCAATTGGAATTTGCCGTTCAGATATACGTAAGCCATGTAAAAATAAAACAAATCACACTTACCTGGTCAAAGAGCTGCTTGCCAGTAGTGTTGGGCTGGATGGCAAACTCCAGTTCTGCATCCATGGTAGTGACCCGGACGTTGATCTGCACAACCAGAGCAAAGAGTCAGGCTGGAGAACGTGAGGGGCCATCCTGAGTAACAAGGACCAGGTCTGATCTCACAGCACCTGCCAGTGTGGCAGCACCCAGCACAGAACAGGATGCGTTTTCACAGTGAACTGCTCTGAAATCAACAACGTTGGATACAAACCTCCAATCAGTCGCATTAACCTGGGCCCAAGAGCTACGCGTCCCTGGACAGTGAAATTTTGAACAAATTTTGAAATCTCAGAGATCTGCTCGCAGGTAAATGCTCTTTGCGCTCTTTAAACCAGGCCAACGTGAGGATTCAAGCGCATCTATGGCTTTGCGAGAGGAACTGAAAACCGAAGACGCATGGAAAACAGACACCTAGTTAAAAGCTTTCCCATTTGTGTGAAGCCAGTCGCTTACAACCACCTGACAGCTGGCCTGTGACACTGAAATGAGGCGACCCGAAGCAGCAGCTCAAGCAGGGAGCTGCGTCAGCACACGTAGGCTGCAAAGGAACAAGTAAAGGTTTACTCCCTGCTGGAAAGAGAAGAAAACAGTTCTTCACACACACCTGAAGAAGGCTCCACAGCCAAAACGCTGCGTTTCTTTTATCCTCTTCTTAGCAGGGAGTAAACCTCTTACTTGTTCCTTTGCAACCTGAAGGATCGCTCCTCTGCCACAGTTACTGGGGCTTTTCTGGGTGGGGTGTGACTCCACTCTTCGCGGACTGGTATTTGCTTCTGTTTTTCCCCCCACACGCTGCTGAACGCAAGTACTTTCTAGTCTTCCGGCCCCCTCGCTCACCACCCTGTAACTCTGGGACAGCAGGAATCCTGCGCCAGGCCAGAAGGCACCTCTGTGACCGACGAGTGCAACTCTCACACCTCACTTCCTCAGCACAAGTTTACCCTTACAAGCTTCTACACCTGGTATCAGGGGTTTGTGACACATGTACTCCGTAATATCAGGCAAACACGAAAGATAGGGACAGGAGGTAGAAATCTTAACAGAGCAAATGCTCAAAAAGTTGATGAGGACCAAAATATTTGTGTGGAAAAACTTCCTTACTGTGCACTGCAAATTACTTAATATATCTAGACGTTAAACATTTCAAGATGCAATATTTCATTAATGAACCATCTAATCTAATCTGAAATCACAAAGTCAGTATGCTGCTACTTGAATGTACATTTTACAGATTTATACGGCACTGGGAGACTGAATCAAAAGCTACAGAAAAAGCAGGGTCTGCAAGCCGACACAATTATTCAAGGTTTTCAAGTGGTTTCTGTGTCCCAATTCAAGTTATGCTTCTTGCAATGACACAGGCACACTGCTCCATCTCTAATGTCCGCTACTGTAATGACGTCACTATTTTGGCTTTTAAATTCCTTGTAACATCCGTAGAGAAACGTTTACCAGCAGACAGTCCTGTACAATCTACCTATAGTACAAAAATAATAGCAGTACAAACAGGCACAACGAAGAACTAACTGAACAGCTCGACTCTATCCTTACTGGATACGCTGGATTGAAAGAAGAAGGGGGAAAACTAAATATGGAAGCGACAATTTTTACAGCATAACAAAACACCACCTGACGTTTCTTCATAAGCTTGTCATGACCAGCAGTAACGCAGAGTTGTTATCCTCCCAGCTGCCCAAAAAAGGGGTTTGAGACTGGCGGTCAGAACATACGCTCAGCTGATCCCCAAAGGGCAAGTGTCCCACTTCCTAATGGCCTCCTAAAAATAGCTATTTGGTGACAGGGAGCAAATAAACGGGCTCGTTAAACGAATGCGCTCGCAGTACTGGCAGTACTGGCATTCGGCCGTCTGCAAGAGCAGGCCCTACAGTCTGCAGCTGATCCCGAGCTCTCTAAAAGGCATTCTCCCTACGCAAGTCTCGTCGCGCACTTGGGAACGATGATCCTGGAAGTCCTCCAAGCAGGATAAGGTTACTGTTCTCCATGCAGATTTTCATGTCATGCTCATCCGCCTTTTCAGGCACGGCGAAACCTCCTGAAGGTTGTGCAAAACGCCTGACGTCCGAAAGGGGTGACGTAGGCCAGACCGATTTTAACACCTGTATTCCCCTCATTTCACATGAAATTCCGCAAAAGAACCAGCCCTGCCACTTTGATATTTCCCGCCGACTATTCAAGCAACCCTGAATTATTCTTGGGAACCAGCCTAGGGTGCTCTAACCAGGGCACAAGGCACATTCTGCTGTCAACAATTTGCAAAAGGTTTGAAAAACAAATAACGCTTCATCCCACATGTTCTGCCTCGGTGCCAACTCCTGTGTGCTCATATTCAGTACATATATACTGTATATTCAGCACAAATAGACACGCTCTCACTTTGTACAGCACAAACCATTCTTGTGCACACTCCCCAGCCAGGCTGATGAAGCTGACACCCTGGCTTCCCTCAAGACAGCTAGATAAGATCCTCAGATCAACCAACTATCAAATGAGCTCGATGGACTTAATGGGCTTCTCTCATATGTAACCTTTCCCAGCTTCTTAAGCAGGTTTCGAACGTATGTGTGGGTGCCATTTGTAAATGAAATGAGAAAATCTGTACACAAGAAAAAAAAACGTGTGTAATGGATTTCAATAGTGTTCAGAACTTTTTTTTTTTACGATGTCTGACGACCAAAAGGAATTTTTTTTTCCTGTCCACAGATGAAAAAGACCAAGCGGACAGCGCTCTGTCCAGCAGGTTCAGGTGAGACCGTGCCGGGACGCAGCGTCGCGACGCGGGTTTTCCGAAACACGTTGGCTTCAGATGAGGGGAAGTACTGACGGGGGGGCAGAGGTTTAGAAAAACAAAACGGGACAAACGGGTCAGAGACCTTGTTCTGTGCTCTAATGGGGGAGAAAAAGGATTCCGTTCGTGGGAAAAACAAGTAAAAATCCAGAGCAGCTCACTCTCCGTGCATCGGTCCGACAACCTGACATAACAGCAGCTCAACGATGGTTTCAGCAAGGCTGCTGCCGAGGGCAGGCCTGCCATCTCTGTACTTGTGACGACCGACACCTTTTCGTTCTTTCCCCCGCAACAGGGCCCTTATTTGCTTTTCCTCCCCAATCATTCTTTTTCCTTGTGGTCATCCCAAGCCAGAACGGGGGTCACGCTGCAAAGAGAGATGAGCCACGTATATAATCATAATAATGCTATAATGTTTCTTTATTAGCCCTGTACAATTTCTTGCATTAGGAATTTGTCTTTTCCCATACCCCAACTTGCTCTCCAAGAGACACACAGACAGGGAGAGAAGCTGGGGGTCAGAGCGCAGGGTCAGCCATTTATACGGCGCCCCTGGAGCAGTTGGGGTGAAGGGCCTCGCTCAGGGGCCCAACAGAGTAGGATTCCTCTGCCGGCCGCGGGATTTGAACCGGCAACCTTCCAGTCACGGGCGCAGATCCCGAGCCACAGAGCCACCGCTCCGTACGGACAGAGAGGATCCCCGCGGCTCTCCGTTCCAGCCACCCATCTACCCTGCCATTACATCCCTGAAACTGGCCCCCAGCGGGGCGAGCCGAGTGGGAAACGGCTGTCGGCCCGAGGCGCGGCCCCGTCGAGGGGTCTCGCGGTGAGCGGACCGTACATTCACACACGTGCTGCTGCGGTAACCTCTGGTCTTGGGTGACGGAACGTCACAGGACCCAGCCAACAGCTGCCAAACACTGCAGCATTTCCTCCTCCCCTGTCTGAAAACACCTACAGTATGAGGCAAAGATATGAAAGGGAAAATTCGATCATTTTACTCTCTTGGGTTGCCAGCGCACATCACACAGTCTTATGGAATTGTAACAACTTGCACCATTTAACACAAGTTTTTGAGTCCCAAATCAAAAGGCAAAGAGTTGGGCTGAAGAGCAAAGGGAATCTTTCTGTGTTTCAGTCAAATTTGACTAAATTTGACAAAGTCAGATTTGAAAAATATTCTTCAGAAGTGCCTTTTGTATTAAAACCCATGGTTTGGAAGTGAAAGGTGAAAAATCAGGCAATCATGATGTCAGAACAGCAGAAAATGTAAGTGGTTAAGTGATTCCATTTTTATTTATTAATGTACAGTAAGTTGTTTGGTTACAAGAAAATTTGATTTAAATGTTCTACAAAACTCTCAAACTTGCTTATGTCATGTTGCTTTTTTTGAAATCCAATCGAAACCCTACGGACAGCTCCTGCTGCACCTGTGAGGTAAGGAACAGCAGAATACCTGTCCTTTCTCATTGCTAGAGCATCACAACACACCACAGAGCCCCATCTGGACCTGCTGGCACACGCACCCCAGACATCCTCCCAGCCGACAGAGCAGGGATACAAGGGGTGGACCACACCGAGGACCAGCCCCCACCGCCTCCCGCGCTCACTCGGGCTCGCCCTCTGAAAGGGCAGTGAAGGGATCAATCGCCTCTTCTGCTTCTTAAGGACTCTCAACAGACAAAATCACAAGACCTGCAGTTTCTCCCGCAGAACTACTGTAAAAGAGATCACTGTTCTGTTCAAGGCTTTCTTATTTGCTCTGTAGTCAACTCAGTGTATTACATAACACTGTTAAAATATGAATTACCTGGAAAAGTCTCTTTTAGTGTTGCTGTAACATTAAATTACTACCATGGGCCTCGGCATTTATGACGCTGACTTGCACTGCACCTAAAAGCGCACATGATATGAAGAACTGCAAAATAAAATAAGAACATGAGAAAGCTGGCAAATGAAAAGAACCAATCGACTCATCGCGCTCATTAGCTTTTAGAAGCAAACCGATCCGAGAATCTCATCCGGCCATTTCTCAAAGAAACCAGGGTTTCGACTGTGAATAAGACTCGATAGCTTGTTCCACAGTTCTATAAGTTTCCCCTGCTCTCAAGTTTAAAAAGCAGCTCCCTTTAGTGCTTGTTTAAGTCAATGTGTGTTTCCATTTAAGGGCTTGTGTTTCACTGTTTTACCTCATTCAGAAAAATACCATAAAATTATCTTCATCACTACTCTAGAGGAT